GGGGAGAGGGAGAGAGAGAGAGAGAGAGAGAGAGAGAGAGAGAGAGAGAGAGAGAGAGAGAGAGAGAAATGTGTGTTTCACTGATGGAATTCTTTTTGAGATAGGATCTCAGTATGTAATGCTGACTGACCTGAAGCTCATTATGTAGACTAGGCTGGCCTCAAACCCACAGATCCCCTGCCCAACTCTGTTTGCAAAATGCTGGGTTAAAGGTGTGCTCTACTATGCCTGGTTCACTTGTAGATTTAGAGTTGGGCCTTAGAAGTCATTGAGAAATCAGCTAATTTCCTGCCTTAGCAGATGAAGCTAAACAGCTACTTGTATTGGCAAAGCTGGAGTATAACCCCAGATATCTTGCTGAGTTTCTTTCTCTCTCTTTTTTCTGTCTCTCGGTGTTAATTCTTAATTTCCCTTTGTCAGTGTTTAGAGTCCTCAAATATCAAAAATGAGATACAGTATTAGAAGATACTGTGTTTGGAACAGCTTCCTTTAAAATCCTCAGATCCTGGCCCTCCACTCCTGTACAGTGCCGTGTGTGTAAGCTCAGGGAAGAGCTTTCCGGCCATTCTCCTGCTGTTCCAGAACATGCTCTGTCCTCTGCCTCATTTACTAAAGGGTTGCTCTACGAGTTCTTTATAAATTAAGGAAACTAGCTGCTTGTCACGCATATTGGAACTAACCTCCTGTTTGTAGTATGCCACTTACATTTTTGTTTGCTGTTGCTTCCATTTCAGCCTGGGCTTTATGCCAAATCTTATGGGGCGTTTTTTGTTGTTTGTTTGTTCTTTTTTTTTTTTTTTTTTTTTTTTTTNGTGTTTTTAAGTTTTGGTGTGTTTTTTTTTGAGACAGGGTTTCTCTGTGTAACAGCCATGGCTGTCCTGGAGCTCACTCTGTAAACAAGGCTGGCTTCAAACTCACAGAGATCCACCTGCCTCTGCCTCCCAAATGCTGGGATTAAAGGCATGCACCACCACGGCTCAGCCAAAATGTTGTGTTTTCATTTAAGATATTTTTCTTAACGCATATCTCTCAAATTCATCTGACAGTTACTTTAGGTTAGGAATGCAGCAGGAGTTCACCTTGGGATTACAGACGGCAGCTAGCCCATGCTGGTCTGGTCTCTCTGCCCGCGCTCACTCGTCCTGGGTTTCCCCGTGTGGTTATGCCCCTCCCTCCTATCGTGTACAGCCGGCTGCACAGGCACTGTACCCATGGCAGCCTCACTTCTTCCTGTCTGGGGGGCACAGCTCTTGTCACCATTCCTGCTCAGAGTCTCTATGTTCCCCCACACTTATTACAGGGGATCTGGTGTCATTTTGTCCAATTTCAGGCCTTGATGTTTTATTGGGAATGGTTTGGTTATATTAATTACATTAGGGACAATTACATCTTTAGAATCTTTGTCACTATGGTGTAAGAACAAAGTATTTCTCTTTTTATAAATCTTTTAGTTATTTAAAGGTTCTCTTCATAGTAAATAGATGTATTATCTATTTTCTAGGTCCTCTTATCCATTTCACAGCCTATACTTTTATTTAATAATCTTTGGGTATGTGTCATGTATGTGCAGGTACATGCAGGTGTGCATCTGTGTGGAGGTATCTTCCCCACTAGATCACCATCTTATTATTTTCAGAGAATTTTAAAGAGTTTTGAAGTGTGAGTGCTGGTATGTGCATATGAGTACAGATACCCACAGATGCCAGAAGAGGGCATCAGGTCCCCTTGAGCTGGAGTACGCACAGTGCTGAGCCTCGTGGTGCTGACACTTGAACTTCTGTCCTCTTCAAGAGCAACAACTGCTCTTAACCACGGAGCCATCTCTCCAGCCCCATCTCCCCCTTCATTTTAAGAAGGACCTTTCACTGAACCTGGAGCTCATCAATCAACTAGACTGTCTGGCCAGCAAGCCCCAGGGATCCTTGTGCCTCTGCTTCCCCAGTACTAGCATTGCAGACGTGAGCCATGGGGCCCAGCCTCTTCCATGAGTGCCAGGAATCAGAGCCCAGATCCTCATGCTCATGTTAAAGTCATTGTACCGACTAAGCCATTGCCACAGCCCCATCTTTCTCAGTGTCTTACAAAGTGCTCTAAGGTGCATTTCTGTTCTCTGCAGTTAATAAATAAGTTACCTCTCGTTTCCAGTATTTACACCTTTGGTTTCTTTCTCACGTGTGATACTTTAGTTGTGAGACTTGCCTTTAATGGCTAAACCATCTCTCTGTCTGATTCCATTGTCTAGAAGATGAAGAGCAATATTAGTTACAGATAGAAGGTATCCTTTTCTTTATCCTTGTGCCAGCTTGACATCTCACCATCAGCATATTTGTTCATTTACCACACTGAGGAAGATTTCATTTAGAGCATTTTCAGCTGGGCTGAGCAGTAGTGAAGTTTTATCAGAAGTAATGAACATGCATACAGAAGTCATGCCCAGAGCTTTGTCAGCTAGGCGGCTCTAGATCCTGACAAGATGACAGTCAAGAATGATTGTGGTAGGAGACTGGGGACATGGTAAAGCGCACTGGCTGCTCTAGAAAAGGAGCACTCATATGGTGGCTCACAACCATCTGAGACTCCAGCTCCAGGGGGTCCGATGCCCTCTTCTCTCCTCCAGGGACATCAGGCATACAAGTGATGCAGGCAGAACACCCATACACAACAGATTTTTAAAGAAGAGTAACTACAACTGCCAATAGTTGATTTCTCTTTGGAAGAAAAAAAAAAAGGCCTCAGTGTATGGTATACACAGTAATCTGTACTGCAGATGAACATATCTCAGTTACTTTTCTGTTGGTATGAGGAAGCACCATGACCAAAGCAACTTAAAAAGACAGCATTTAATTTGGGGGCTTACAGTTCCGAGGATTAGAAGGTAAGGAGCATGTCAGCCAACAGATAGGTGTGGTACTGACACAGCAGCTGAGATCTTAGATCTGATCCAGAAGCATGAGGCAGAGAGAGCTAATCTAAAGGCCCACCCCCAGGGACACTTCCTCCAGTAAGGCTACACCTCCCAATCCTTCCCAAACAGTTCCACCATCTAGAGACCACGCATTTGAATATGAGCATTCTCACTCAAACTACCACAGAGAAGTGATATATAGAAGATAGATAGATAGATAGATAGATAGATAGATAGATAGATAATAGATTGATAGATAGGTGATAGATAGATAGATAGATAGATAGATAGATAGATAGATAGATAGATGATAGATAATAGATAATGATAGATAGATAATAGATAGATAGATAGATAGATAGATAGATAGATAGATAGATAGATGATAGATAGATGTGATTCTTACACAAATGTGACTGTGAGGCTAACACTTTTCTTCTGTAATATTTTAGGGTTTTTTTAAATATAGCCTTTATTTTAAAAAGAGACTAGAACATGTCAAAAAGTCCTACTTGGAAACTTCATGAGTCCTGCAGTGAAGAGTGCTCTGCGTGAGGCGAACAGTTCATCTCCAGACACCTTAGGGAATGAGTTTGGAAAAGAGCAACAGGTACGCAGTAACTCCTTAATAATTCAGTATGTGCTGTTTTAGCTGTCTTATTGCAAAACCAGGATTGAAAAGCAGAGTGTAGAACCATGATAATTCATGTGTACACCTAGATCTAGAAGTTCCTTAGTCTCCCTTTATAATATGCAGATATAATTACAAAGGTGTGCTGCTGATAAGGATATTCTTATGTCTCCCTCAATAGTACACAGACACAGTGCAAAGGTTTGCTGCTGCTAGGAACAGCCATCCCTTCGGTCTGGTGCAATCCATGAGCAGACACCATTCAGATCCCCCACTGTAACAGCTGGAACAATTTTTGTTTGTGTTCCTGAGTCATGAAAGCAGAGAACCACCTGTGTACCGTTCACTGCAGAGTCAAAGCTGTGCTTCAGGTGAATAAAGCAGATAGCATCATACTGAAAACACTGCTAAAAGAACTCTAACTAGACACTCACTCCTCAGACTTGCCAGAGCAAAGTCGGGCACTAGGCGGCACTTGCCTGCTTATTTCAGTATCTTGAAGACAGTTTGCTTCTTTAACCCTGTACCTAACAAGCACTAAACAAATATTCTCTGGCTGTGATAATTAATGAAGCACCTTGGGGCTGACCCAGGCCATTATGGGCCATGGTCATGTAAATTCACATGCAGAAACAGCACAGTGTTAGTTGGGAACTGCTAAATGTGGTGAGTCATGCTATTTCACAGACACACTTGAACAGCTCGTGTCAGTTAAAAGTGCACTCCTCCTAATATCAGTCATCAGTGAATTTATAACAGATCAGTGATGAAGCCAGCAAGCTGTAAACTCCAGAGAGCAGGGCACATCTCATTGCTGAGTGCAGTTGCATGCAAGAGTCAAAACTTGCTCTTACTTTGGTTTATATTGCCAATGATGGGTCCTATCTCCCAGCACAGGTGAACCCAAACAGCCATACTCAGCAGCAGAGGTAGAGGATTTAGTACAGTTTTAGGGTCCTGGGAATTCCAGAATCCTAATGTTCTACTTCTTTGGTGGATATAATTTATGCTAAGTACAGGCACTCCTCCAGACAACAGTAGGGCTGTGTTCTGTAAACTTAACATCAAAAATATGTTTGGGGGCACTGGAGAGATGGCTCAGTGGTTAAGAGCATGCAGTGTTAAGTGGATCTCATAGAGTTCAAAGGCAGCCTGGTCTATTCACACATGATCTGGACAGCCAGAGCTACATAGAGAGACCCTGTCTCAGAGATCCACCTGCTTCTGTCTCCAGTACCAAGATTAAAGCACATTTCACTATGCCTGGCTGCAATCCCCTTCTTATCCTGGAGACACTACTCTCTACTTCAAGGAAGGAATATGATGATTTGTCAAAGAAATCACTTGTCTCTTTCTCCAAATCGGTGGGTGTCAGATTCCAGTGATCCTCAGCAGCCAGTAGTGGACAGTAAGGGTGTTGTTCTGTGTCCTGTTAAAACAGTTAACAAGTGGCCACAATCCAAAACTCGTCACGTCCAAGTCACAGGCGTTGGCTCTGAATGACTAGCATAGGAGGAAATGGAACTGGATTTAATCAGGTTTCTTGTACTGTTTTTATTGAGCTGTATATTTTTCTCCACTCCTCTCCCTTTCTCTCCCCTCCCCTTCTACCCTCTCCCATAGTCCCCATGCTTCCAATTTACTTAGGAGATCTTGTCTTTTTTTCTGCTTTCCATGTAGATTAGATCCATGTATGTCTCCCTTGGGGTCCTCATTATCTAGGTTTTCTGGGATTGTGAATTGTAAGCTAGTTTTTCTTTGCTTTATGTCTAAAAGTCTATTATGAGTGAGTGCATATTATATTTGCTTTTCTGTGTCTAGGTTACCTCACTCAATATGATGTTTTCTAGATTCATCCATTTGCCCTCAAATTTCAAGCTGTCATTACTTTTTCTGCTGTGTAGTACTCCATTGTTAAATGTACCACATTTTCCTTATCCATTCTTCAGTCAAGGGGCATTGAGATTGTTTCCAGGTTCTGTCTATGACAAACAGAGCTGCTATGAACATAGTTGAACACATGTCCTTGTGGCACAATTGAGCATTCTTTGGGTATATACCCAAAAGTGGTATTACTGGGTCTTGAGGAAGGTTGTTTCCTAATTTTCTGAGAAATCGCCACACTGACATCCAAATGGGTTGTACCAGCTTGCATTCCCACCAGCAATAGAGAAGTGTTCCCTTTTCCCCCACAGCCTCTCCAGCATAAGTTGTCATCAGTGTTCTGATCTTGGGCATCCTCACAGGTGTAGATGGAATCTCAAAGTCGTCTTGATTTGCATTTGGATTTAGCCAGCTTTAAAATGCCAAGTTAACCTCAGGTTACATAAGCAGGAGCTTTCTGACTGAAGAGTCAAGTGAGACAGTTTCTCTTTACTCAGTTTCCTCACTCACCTAGTAAAAGCCTGTAAGCCCTTCCCACGCCTGGAAATGCAAACAACAGCTAGCTGCTAGCAGCTTGGGTCAGGATGTTTAGTTAAAACTCATAACATTCAAGCCAGCACACACCTTTAATCCCAGCACTCAGGAGGCAGAGGCAGATGTATCTCTGTGGGTTCCAGGCCAGCCTGGTCTACAGAGCAAGTTCTGTAACAATGAAGGGCCAGGCCTGCTTGTTGTTGCGGTTTCTGTCCTGCCCGGTACCCCCAGCTGTTTAGCCCCAAGGAAAATCACACAAAGATCTCTGTAAGTTATAAAGCTGATTGGCCCATTAGCTCTAACCTCTCACTGGCTAACTCTCACATCTTGATTAACCCATTTTTTCTGATCTATGTTAGCCATGTGGCTCAGTACCTTTTTCTGTGAGGCAGATCACATCCTGCTGCTTTGGTGATCTGGGCAGGAGTGGGAGGGATCAGCTTCCTCCTTCCCAGAATTCTCCTGTTCTCATTACATCATTTCTACTTCCTGTCTGGTTTACCCGCCTATATTTCCTACCTGGCCAATCCGCATTTGTTTATATCATGATTGACAGAATACAGACAATTCTCCCACACCAAAGTTCCAGGACAGTCAGGGTGATTACACAAAGAAACCTTGTCTCAAAAAAAAAAAAAAGGAAAAAACCCCTCATCACATTGTTAGTGTGTTTGTTTTGGGTCAGTGTTAAAGAGAACTCCAAAGGAACAGGCCTGGGTTCAAAACTCAGTTGTCCCCTTTACAAACTGACTTTGGACAAGTTATTTATCCTTTCTGAGCCCCCACTTCATCTATAGAGTGGATAACAGCCATCTCACAGGACCACCTCCTGAATGGGTAAGCTCATGCCACAAGGCCCTCAGCTCTGCTTGGCACAGGGCAGGTGGGAGCAGGGACAGCGGCGTCATTCAGGCTGTAAAGTGCTGGCTGTGGCACTAGGCCTGAAGTTACACAGGGATTAGATGGGGCTTCTATCTTCAAGACTTCAGTGAAGTGCGGATTTTCCAGCAGTATCTCCTGACAGAACAGATGCAGGGGAAGGGGCACCTTTTACTTGACGTACCTGCAGTGCCCTTGACTGTCCTTGTTTGTCCCAGAATCCCTCTTCCAGGATGAGAGCTTGTAGCATGAGTAATAAAAACCCAGAGAGAGATTTTGGGGTTCAAAGTGAAGATCATAAAAGCAAAGCAGCCAACGATAGAGAGTTCTTACCTCTACCAAGGCTCAGACAAATAAAGGGATGATCCATGTACACAAGTGTCTTCTCACCTTCATACCTGTACTCACATGTGAGCACTCACACACACACACACACACACACACACACACACACAAATGCTTGACTTTAAAAGGACAGGGCCAGCAAGAGGGATGGCTCAGTGGGCAAAGCACTTGCTGTACAAGCCTGAACTTGATTCCCATCCTCCACCATGGAAGGACAAAACTGAGTCCTACATGTTGTCTTCTGAGCCCCCTGGAAAGAATGCTTTGTGCTGCCATTATGTAAAGTTCTATTCGCCATCCACATTGTGAAGCCAGAGAAGGACCCAGGCTTGAACTGCACAGCTTGGATGGTCACCTCCCCTTTGACCTGTGCAGTGAGAATTGTTGATGCGTACATGGTCTGTGCATCATAAAAACAACAGTTAAACAAAATGCTGGTATTACTAGTCAGGTCATATGGTTAAGATGATTTGTGGGAAAATCTGAATCGCATAGTATGCTCCATCAACCAAGGAGAAGGTTTAATGCATTAAGCATATGCAACAAAAGGCAGAAACCAACTCAGGGAATACAAAGCTCCCAGTAGGGAGTGTTGCATTCCTGTTGCAAAGGATCTTACACAAGTTAATAATATCTCTTTTGCTTTCTTGATAAAACAGAATTGAGAACTGAATGAAAAAGACATGCTTTTAAAGATGCCTGCGATGGATTGGTTTATTTCATTCTACTGATGAGGTAGGCTACTATGCAAGAGCTTCCAGTAGCCTGATCCTTCCTAGCACAGAGCCTCATAAAGAAGTGTTGAGCCTCTGTGTTCCAGCTCAAGTTGTTTTGAATGTATCTGTTGGGGACTCTTCTTGTGTGTGACTCCCTATTCTGTCCATAGCTCACACCAGAAGAGTCCTAAGTTTCTTCCTTGGATGACATTGAGTCCACTTCTTAGGCCACTCAGCAGCCACTTAACAAACCACTTAGACCTAACTGATCATGAGAGGATGCCTATAATCCTAGTGCTGGGGAAGCTGAGGCAGGAGGATTGGAGTTTGAGGCCAGCTTGGTCAGAGATAGCTGTCTCAATAGATAAAGAAGCTTGCCCACCAAGCCTGACATTAAGATGCCCAGATGAACTAGTTCTGGCATGTTGTCCTCTGACCACCACATATGCGCACCTCCACTTCATAAAAAAATAAATTAGAAAATATATTTTGAGTAATGCTGGACTGGACTCCAGATCCCTTTAGAAGGAAGCGCCAATGAACAAAGAGAACTCATTGCTTTTGTTTTCCTTTTCTTTATTTAAACATAAATTGTGGCCATCTGGGGATACACCTTTAAAGGGGGCAATGGCTCAGCAGCTAAGAGCATCTGCTGTTCTTGCAGAAGGCCTGGATTATGTTGACAGAGGTTTCTTTCCCACCAGGTCCTACAGCCATTCAGCCCCAAAGAAACACACAGAGGCTTACATTAATTATAAACTGGTTGGCCTAATAGCTCAGGCTTCCTTATTATCTAATGCTTACATCTTAAATTAGCCCATAATTCTTGTCTGTGCTGGACACATGGCTTGGTACCTTTTATCAGTGAGGCATTCTCATCTTGCTTCCTCTACGTCTGGGTGACAACTGCAGACTGACCTTTCCTCTTCCCAGAATTCTCCTGTTCTGGTTGTCCCACCTATACTTCCTGCCTGGCTATTGGCCAACCAGCATTTTATTAAACAAGTACAAGAGACAAATCTTCACAGGGTACAGGACCATTGTCCCACAGCAGGGCCAGGTTCCCAGCACCCCTCTGCTGGCCTCCACAGTACTGCATACCTGTGGTGCTCAGATACATACACACAAACATTCATATACATAAAAATAAATAAATCAAAAAAGTTGCCAGTATTGTTATCAGATATAGTTTTATATTGCCTGTGAATATTATCAAAGTTTGACTCCAAGGTCCTATTTTCTTTTTGTTGTTGTTGTTGTTTTGTTTGGTTTGGTTTGGTTTTTGTTTTGTTTTGTTTTGTTTTGTTTTTCGGGACAGGGTTTCTCTGTGTAGCTTTGGTGCCTGTCCTGGAACTAGCTCTTATAGACCAGACTGGCCTCAAACTCACAGAGATCTGCCTGCCTCTGCCACCCAAGTACTGGGGTTAAAGGCGGGTGCCACCACCACCCAGCCCAAGGTCCTATATTTCATGTAGGAAATAATTTAAGACTATAATTGAGACTATTCCAGAAAATGCATTTTAATAATGTATTGTTCTGACCTGATGGTGGCACAGCCTTTAATTCTTGCACTTAGGAAGCAGAGAAAGGCAGACCTCTGTGACTTTGATGCCGACCTGTTCTACATAACAAACTCCAGGCCAGCCAAGACTGCATAATGAAATCTCATCTCAAAAAACAGTACTGTTGGGCTGGAGAGATGGCTCAGAGGTTAAGAGCATTGCCTGCTCTTCCAAAGGTCCTGAGTTCAATTTCCAGCAACCACATGGTGGCTCACAACCATCTGTAATGGGGTCTGGTGCCCTCTTCTGGCCTTCAGGCATACACACAGACAGANCAGCAACCACATGGTGGCTCACAACCATCTGTAATGGGGTCTGGTGCCCTCTTCTGGCCTTCAGGCATACACACAGACAGAATATTGTATACATAATAAATATTTAAAAAAAAAAAAACAGTACTGTTTCACATTCTTCCTCAATGTAGTAAAGAAAATACACTAAAGCATGGGCCCATTTTAATGCAGGTATCCATAAACTGAAGCATCCTTTTTTCCTACTAGGTTGTGGACTATGTCTTTGGCTGATACAACAAAAGCACACACAAATGAGCATTTCCCCAGCCTGGCACTAGGAAGCAACAGGAAGTCTGCAGAAGGCAAGAGTAGCCCAGGCGCTGGCGACCTGTCACGGAACAGCAGGGCTTCCAATGGGAGCGTGGATTACAGCAGATCTCAGTGCTCCTACAGAAGCCTGACCTCCCACTATGACTATTCAGAAGACTTTCTTTCTGAGTGCTCTGAAGCAGCCACCAACAGACATGAGTTAGAGCAGCCTCTGGGGAAAGAAAAGGAGAAAAGAAAGTATAGCCCTTCTAAAATCCCCCAGCCTAAAGGTAAAACGTCAGGCATCCCTGCCAGGCTGCAGCCCTGGTGACGGTAACGTTTTTGTTTAATGCTAGTATCTTGTAGTGGCCCACAATCAGTTACAGGTGTATGTTACTAAATATTCCATATATAGCTGTCAAAACACTCTCCACATCTCCAGTTCCTTTCAGCTTTGTTGACAGCAACACCTCTCTCTCTCTCTCTCTCTCTCTCTCTCTCTCTCTCTCTCTCTCTCTCTCTCTCTCTCTCTCTCTCTCTCGGGCCAGGCTGGTTCCTCTCCCTGTTAGCAGCTCTCCCTCAGCAGGTGTCCCACAGCTCTGCATCTCCAACATCTTGGGGTCTCCAAGGCAACCCAGGCTTCAGCTTCACAGCTTCAGGCAATGGCTCTCTAGGCCCCTAATTCAGAGATGCCCCTGACACATGCCTGACCTCAGCAGCTTTCCTTAGTCTTGGAGGCAAATTCCATAGCCCCTTTCTTCTGTCCTTAACTCCAGAACCACGTGGACAGAGCTGCCACGTTTTGCTGCTTGCTGGGGCTGGAACATGGCTCCCTCATTCAATTCCATCTTCACCAGTTTTCTGTCCTTCATTGCCTAAGTTTGGCTTTTCTGGAATTTTCTCTGTAGGCCAGACTGTCCACAAATTCAGAATTCTGCCAACCTCTACCTTCCCGGTGCTGGAATTAAAGATGTGAACACCACACCCAGATCTGAACTTTTCTTTATTGCTTTCCACAAATTGAAATGTCAGTTGGGTGGGATCTTGACCTGAGGTCACCACTCCCTTTATCCCATTTCTTAATCTGTTTATCTCCTTGAACAAAGAATTTAGCTCCATTCCACATTCTGTTCTCGTGCTCTTTTTCTTCTCAAAATTTACTTCTTGTAATTCACCCTATTCAGCTTGCTCCTTTTCATTGTGAATCTTCACTAGAATTAACACTAATATAATCCATAGGACAGAGTCTGTACTAAGTTGTTTTGAGATTTCTTCTGCCAATGGAATTCATCCAAAACTCTTCACTTTAGCCTCAGGCAGACTCTTTGGACAAGGGCAAAAGGCAGCCACAGTTTTCACCAAAATATCTCTAGACAACATACTAAATTCCTCTCCTCTGAACCTCTTGAGTAAGCCCCCAGCAGTTCAGATAACCTTTAGCACCTCTGTCTTCCACGCTCCCACTGTGTGGCCCATTAACCAGTGCTTAAAACATCCACTGCTTTCCTAACCCGAAGTATCAAAGTCCAAATTCCTAAAAACAAACACAAGGTCAGGTCTACCACAGCAACACCCCAGTCCCTGGTACCAACCTCTGTATTAGTTAGGGTTTCTATTGCTGTGAAGAGACACCATGACCATGACAACTCTTATAAGGAAAACATTTAATTAAGGTGACTTGCTTACAGTTTCAGAGGTTCCGTTCTTTACTATTATGACAGGGAGCTAGGTAGTGTGCAGGCAGATGTGGTGCTGGAGCTGAGAGTACTACATCTTGGCCTGCAGGCAACAGGAAGTCAGCTGACACTGATTACCACACTGATGGAAGCTTGAGCAAAAGAGACCTTAAAGCCCACCCCCACAGTGACACACTTCCTCTAACAAGGCCACACCTCCTAATAGTGCCACTCCCTTTGGGACCATTTTATTTGAAACCACCACAATGGGTGAACTTTTATAGAAAGAATTGGGAAATAGGTAAATTATGGATAATTATACAATAACAAGAAGCTGTAGCCTTGTCCCCAGTAGAGCTGACCCTCCCAGCCTGCTAGTAAGGAGGGTTCTGACTTTAGTTAACAGGCAGCCTCAGCATGGATACTCGGTGCTAGCTTTCAGCCTTTGGTCTTAGCTAAAGGATCAAAGTCTGAACTGCCAATGAAATGCCAGTGTCTTGTCCTGACACCCAAGAAGACAGTGTCTTAAGTCTGGTGAAGATGTTGACAGTCTTTAAAACCAACATCACCCAAAGGGCTTTAGTGATATCTTTTCCTTGTGGCCTTTTGTTTTGTTTTTAGAGACAGTATCTTATTGTTAGCCCTTGCTGTCCTGGAACTCACTTCATAGCCCAGGCTGGCCTCGAACTCACAGAGACCTGCCTGCCTCTGCCTTCTGAGTGCTGGGGTTAAAGGTGTGTACCACCACTGCCCAGCAAAGTAGAGTTTCTTGTCTGCTGATGTAACTCCTTTAATAGAAAGAGGGGCAGGCTCTCTCTCATGTGGTAGTTGGAGATCAGATGCTGCTGGTTCCATTCACACCCCCCTCCCCCCCCCCCC